TAACATTATTATAATTTTAATTACTTTTATTATTACATAAATGACCAAAAAATTAAAGATTTATTTATTAAGAAAATGTGTCTTAAAAATGGCTAAAAGTGTGATAAAATGTAAATAATTAAAAGTAGTGTCCATTCATTCGGTCCACTTATGGGTACACTTGGAGTTCGTGCACACGTAGTATAACCTCATGTCGTCCTCAGCCCTACGGGACTGTCCCTGAAAGAAGACGGCCTCCTTATGGCCACACTCTATGACAATACGACAATACAATCAATACTATTACGGGATTAACATATAATCAAGTGATGACATACGCGGACAGGGATGCTCTCGAGTGCGGGGAAGTGTCGGGTCGTGGATCACATCACTCACAACACGTGCCAACTCGTCGATGTCGTGTGTAATCTATATTAGCGGGTGTGTTACAGATTGTTCTGATACTTTATTTCTCGGATATTATATTCCCTCCAAACACATCACTCGCATTCATTAATAACGTTTGGTAAATGGAGGCCTCATTACTAAGTTAGTAACTCCAAAGCCTTCCATTTACCAAACGTTATTAATGAATGCGAGTGATGTGTTTGGAGGGAATATAATATCCGAGAAATAAAGTATCAGAACAATCTGTATGTGTTAGTCATTACGACAATATAGCGATTGAATCAATACATGTTATGGAATAAGTGCATTTGTGTCAATAACAGCCGCTAGACAAACATCAGTGTTAACGCCGTGATTTACGTATAAGTTCTGTACAAAATCATTATAACTATATTTCCATTGTTAACCACCTGTCTGAGACCGCGTATAGCAATACTCGGGACTCTTTGTCTTCTCTCGGATACAACATATTATTGCTAAACAGATATAAGACACGCGTTAATGACATGACCAACACATCCAGTGGTCACAAGACATACCATTCCTGACAGAACTTAATGCCCACAAATTTGGGTCCTTCGGGCTCTTCTGCCGGCACTTCAGTTGGCAATCGAGGCATTGATACCTAATTTCGTGTCACAAATAGATGTAAAACTAAAACCGATTTTAATATCAATTAAAATGTCATAAAATTGTCATAAAATATAAAAACAATTAAAAGCGAAAAGAAATGAAAACATGTATTAAAAGCAGTGTTTGATTGCTTTGATTGGTTTGTTTCAAAGCAGACATTGTTTGCTATAAATAACGTATTGATTGACAATTGTTTTCATTCATTCATTCAATTCATTATTCATTTAATTTAATCATATTTTTAATTGTAATTCATTTGTAATTCTTTTGATTTTTTATTTATTCAAAAAATAAAACTATTTTTTCATATTTAATGAGTTTATATGGAAATGAAGTGACTTTTTATGTGTAAATAATGTGTTCATTATTTTGATAGCTGTTTGACATTTGGTCTCAAATTATAGCATAATTTTATTGAATTTATTTTAAACTTAGATTTTTATGAGTTTATATGGAAATGAAGTGACTTTTTATGTGTAAATAATGTGTTCATTATTTTGATAGCTGTTTGACATTTGGTCTCAAATTATAGCATAATTTTATTGAATTTATTTTAAACTTAGATTTTATTATATTTTGTAATTATTTAAATCAGTGGTTAAAACGAGAGATCAAATGACATGTTATCGACATAATTGAAGACAACGTTTTGATGATAAACATGTGGTATGTATTGGGATGTGATGTCAAATATCTTCATTAGAACCGCATTTAAGTTCATATTTACAGATAATTTAGCTTTGATTTCAAACTTGCATTTATTTCTTGATTATAATTCACACACTTTTTCGTTGAATTGTTTTTTACTCGTAATTCACATAAAAATGATAAATATTTAGTTTTTTGGTTTTATTTGACATAAATGTTGATTAAAATAATTGAAAGCAAAAAAAAGCAGATTTAAATGAACGCAAGAAATTGTAAGAAATTGATGACTTGTATTGTGACAACAGGTGGTCACGAGTTGTGGAAAGACATGCCATACTTATAATAGTGATAGTATTGGCCATCAATTGGTCACTGTTTGTGATCCCCGGTCTATACAATCATCCGTTGCCTTCATTTGATGACCCATTGGTTGGCTTTGAAGTCCGCGGCTCTCAAGTGTCCAAAAGAAGCAATTCATGGAAATTACTCTAGACACGCGAATTGCGGAACGAATTAGAAGTGGAAAAGTCGTCGCAATTGAATAGTCGAGAGAAGAGCCAACAAATGCAACACGAAATACAAGCGCTTCATCTGAAACTACAACAGAGTTACGAAAGCCAGAGGAATGAAATGAATGCAATGCAGAAACAGTTGCAACAAATTCAGGTCAAACTCAGCGACGAACGAAGTCATGCCATTCGACTCCAAGAAGACAACTCTCGACTCCAGCAACTCATGAAGAGTGACCAACACGTGAAGCACGAAGTGGATCAGCTCAGGACTGAACGCACACAGTATGAGATGCGTATGTCTGCCAATCAGAAGAGTAGCGAAGAACTTCTTCGAAAGACACAACAATTGGAAAACAGAATCAAATCAATGAGTGATTCGCGACAAAAGGATGAAACCACTTATCAAATGCACATTAAAGATGTCTCACAAGAGTTACAGAAATGCGAGACTCAGAGGAATGTCTTGGTGGAGGAGTTGAGCCATAAGACGAATAAATGCAATGCAATTGAATCGGAAAATATTCAATTTATTCAGAGATTCAAAGAGTTGGAAGAGACGAAGAACTCAGAAATTAAAGTTTTAATCGACGAGATGTCGGAACTAAATAAGCAAAAACTTATCGCAGAAAAAGCTTTATCTGAAGCCAAACAACACGAACATCAAAATGGAGACCAAAATTCGGGAAAACAGGAATTAATTAAACTCAACGAAGAAATGATTTCAACTAAAGAAGAGCTCAAGAATTTAAAGAATGCATTAGAAAATCAGTTGAGAAAGAATGAAGAGTTGAGCGAAAAGTATGAATTGGCGAACGAATCGATTGCTAACTTCGATCAAATCAAGAAAGAATGTATTGAAAGTGCTCTTAAAGTGTCGGAACAAACCAATCGACAACTCGAGACCGAAAAGGATAAACTTAAACAACAAAATGAGAGCCTAAACACTGAACTTCACAACATTAGCACTAATAATAAGGATAATGTCGGAGAACTCGATTCAATCAAATCGTCACTTCGATTAGTAATTCCAAGTCTTAACACTGGAAGTAAAGATTGGATTTCAAAACTTGGAACAACTCTTAAGGAGCAACTGAGCCATCAATCAGACGAGTCTTCAAATATCGAAAGGCAAAGAGTCGGAGAACTCGAGTCTTTGTTAACTCTCGAAAAGGAGAAATCGAGTCAATTGGAGTCGAAGTGCACCGGATTTGCATCAACTCTATCGCAAACAGTAAATGTTTTAATTATTGTTTTAATCTATTTTATAATCTAATTATTTAATTTACATAAAGGAATCGATTTTAAGTGAACTCCAAAACAAAGTGGAGTCACAAGAAAGAGATCTCAAACATAGAGAACAAGAGTTCGGTAGTGAACTGAAGACACATTCGGGTGAAAATGTAAAACTTCGCGATGAGATTAAAAGACTTGAGTCGAGTTTAGTTCAGTTCCAAGAATTTAAAGAGACGTTCACTGAAATGGAGGACAAACTCAAAGAATTGCAGTCAAAACTAAGCGGAGAGGAGAACGAGAAGAAACTTCTGGAGCATAAATACGATGAGGTCTGCAAAAAAGGACAGGTATTGAAAAGCATGTCATTCACTACGAGTCCCACTTAATGTCAGATAAGTGGAGGCATTGATTGTAAATTGTAATGAAGTGTTTATCATTTGACTTTTGTTGTACCGAACGAATTGAATACCCGTTAATGTCATGCTTTTCTTTTACAAAATTTTGATTTCTATTCAAACAATCATTGAATTAATGGATAAAAACGACTTGTTTTAGGCGACAAAAGTTGCGTCCGCTTTACGCGAGGAATTGAATGAATTCGAAACCGAGAGATCAGAATTGGATCGATTGAAAGCAGATTTGGATGAATTGAAGACAACCCTCGAAAAGGAGAAGAAGATATCTAAAGACTTAAACCTACAGAACGTTCGCCTCAACTCATTGGTTAAGATCGGACACGAGTCGCTTAAGATGGAAGAGGACAGAGTTAGACAACTCCAGTCGCAGCTCAATCTGAACAACGGCTCCCTTTCTGCGCCCGTCAACGGTTCCAACGAAACAAATGCCAACAATAGTGATACGACACCAGAGGTGAGACATTTAGCACAACTCAAGCCATACTTTTTCTTACTATTAAATCATATGAATTGCATTTAATTTGCCAAACATTAAACTGTTTGCTCTATTTCTGTACCTTTGATGCGCTGAAACCCATTTAAGTCGACTCCGATTACTACTAATCCAATTCAAACTCCTTTACTGTTGAATACTAACACTAAATCAAAGCGAAAGGTAAGAACTCTAATGCTAACAAAATTTGTAGATTTTGTTATAACGTATGAACAAATCTCTTCAAATCTTATACTAAATCTTTGATTTCCTATAAACCATGTTTGAAATGCTGTTTCTTTATGCTCTCTAAACCTTTTGATTGCTGTATGAAATGGATGTAAAAGCAGAGCAAACGGGGTTCTGATCTTAAAGTGAAAGGTTTTAGATTTAGAGGTAATTTATCGGTTGTCTCACATGTCCTGTCCTTTTGGTGCACTTTATGTTTAAATATATGTGAAATGCTCTGCTTTTGGGACTCAACGCCTCTTTGCATTGTCTTTTTGTCTTTTAATTTCAATTTTGTGTTTCAAATCCTTGTTTAACACATTAATGGAAACAATTGATTGAATTGCAAACTAATCCATTGCCATCTCTCTCACCCATCATAGGCTGCTTCGGCTAAGAAGTAAACAAACACTGAAGAACTCTATTAGCAAACAATTCATCGCATCATTAGATCATTAGTACATTAAGTCAAATGATTTATTTGTCTATTGAATGGACCACTGATTACATAAATATGAATACAAATGGAATAATAGTTTTAATGGGTTTTTGCAAAATAACATTATTATAATTTTAATTACTTTTATTATTACATAAATGACCAAAAAATTAAAGATTTATTTATTAAGAAAATGTGTCTTAAAAATGGCTAAAAGTGTGATAAAATGTAAATAATTAAAAGTATCCATTCATTCGGTCCACTTATGGGTACACTTGGAGTTCGTGCACACGTAGTATAACCTCATGTCGTCCTCAGCCCTACGGGACTGTCCCTGAAAGAAGACGGCCTCCTTATGGCCACACTCTATGGCAATACGACAATACAATCAATACTATTACGGGATTAACATATAATCAAGTGATGACATACGAGGACAGGGATGCTCTCGAGTGCGGGGAAGTGTCGGGTCGTGGATCACATCACTCACAACACGTGCCAACTCGTCGATATCGTGTGTTATCTATATTAGCGGATGTGTTATGTGTTAGCCGTTATGACAATATAGCAATTGAATCAATACCTTATTCACGTAAACACAGTTATTGTCGGCGATCTGTTTGTAGTCACAATTGCGGCACTAAATGCATATTCAAGACATGTTTTAGTAATATTGATATAAAGGTAACAATTGGTGGACAGACT